TAGCATAATAATAAGAATAATATATTCTTTCCTAAAGATTTGTGAATGTTGCACACGAAAAGTGTGAACGGACAGAAAATGATGCTCTGTATTTAGAGTCACACTCAAAGCTGTGCAGTAGGTTCTCGCTCACAGATTAACTAAAGTGAAATTTTTCACAGCATAAAAGTATACAAATTAACTGAACAAGCTCCAAGGCTTAGGACATGATTTATCTGGAACAGCAAACCTTCGATACTGAAGGTCACAGGAACAACAAAGAAATGTACTTTTGCAAGTGTTCTTGTTCTTAGCTGCTCTCTCCAGAAAGCAGTCTATTTATGCTAATTAAAACCCAACAGTATACAAGTGAATTCTTCTACTTAAAGACCATTTAGGCATGACAAGGGAGAGACTGGGGAGTTCAGACTCTGGACACCTTAAGAGGGAGAAAAATAGTTCTCGCTTCTGTGGTCTGAACACCACAGGAGACACAACAGAGGGACGAAAAGCACTCATATTTAGACAAAATTAAAGATTCAACAGCTGAATGTCCGTGCCCTACCTAGATGCTCACTGACCCACTTCACTGTGTGCTGCGTCATACATACACACACAAATCATGCACCAGACATATTCAGTTAGCATTGCTACAGATATATCTTCCAATAATCTGCACTGAAAAACGCAAAAACTTTCGTTACGATAGCAGGGCCAGTATGTTGTTATTAATCCCAGTAGCTGACATTTCTTCAGTGAGTGGCTGTTTCTGTTAGTGTGGCCAAAACAGTGCCTGTATTGTCCGACGTGGGTCTCTAGAGTGTGGAGGAGAGAAAGGAGAGAGTGATGATGGAAAGAGAAGGAGACAGTATCAGGAAAACTTGGAAGAAAGGGGCTGTTGTTCACATGTTTACTCATCGAAACTATGAGTGTTAAAGAAAAGAATAAGAAGGATGGAGGCCACCGTGGGATGACACATGATATTTTTTTTAAAAAGAGCGATACCAGGGTAGTGATGGATGAAATGGAGAAAAACAGGGGAGCGAGCAGAGAGGCAGAGGGCACACAAAGAAGTCTTGTCTTTTCCACAGCAGCCACAATAGCACTGTTGGGGACAGCAGGGCGACACTGTCAGCATGTGTATTGTACCATTAACCACTCATTAAATAACAACCTTGTCACGCTGTGGTGTTCTGACCCTACACTCTGCTATATTATCCCACGCTTTCACACATGTGCGTGCACGCATGCACACCGCGCTATCATGGCTTCATTAAAGGGTTATCCCTCTGCCATCCTCTCCTCTTCTCCTCTCTCATTGCTGGGCTCAGCATCTTGATTAGACCACTAGACAAACAGCCTGAATGAACTGAGGATGAGCAGCGAAATCCCTCACTGTGATAGCCTGCTGCCTGTGAGTGTTTGTGTCTGTATTTGTTTTATTACTCAGTCCGCTGCACTGATATTGCTTATCCTTATCTATACGATAGACATGCAAGACTGAAGTTTAAGGCCTGAGGCGCGTGGATTTAATGTTTTACATCTCCTTATCAACTGTTTTTGTTCTCGGTGATCCACAGGATATTTCTTAAAGTAACGCTACGGCTCAACGTTAAACACAAAGCAGACCAGTTCGAGTGTCAACCTCTCGTTGAACTTTTTGTGCATCAACTGGCCTCGTTTTGTCTACTTTCACAAGTTAAAATGTTTAGTTCCCCTCTTCTGGTGTAATTGTTAAACACGATTACTCCTTGTGATGCTTTCTGCCTCATTTCCTTACTCATCTGGCATTTCTCACTTTCACTTTGTCCGCTGACCTTTCCCCCCGACCTTCATGTTTCTGTCCCACTGCTCTGCTGGCTGTCATCGCCTTCTCTCACACTCTCTTCCTCTCTTATTGTTCTGTCAGACTTCCTATTATTTCCATTGGAACGGGATTCAGAGATAATCACGCTCCAGATCACATCCTTGCAGCTCTTGTTTCTCCAGCTTCCCCAGTATCTTTATACAAATATGCACACATTGGGAAAAGAGGATTTTTTTTCCCCCTTAAAGCACTCAAAGAGGACTGGGTTGTAAAGCCACAGAATACAATTCAAACACTGCCAAAAAAACAACAACACTCAAGCAGCACACACAATTGAATAGCACTAAGACAAAAGCCTTACGTATTCATCATAACCACACACTAATCTCAAACAGAAGGGCAAACATTAGACAGCACATGTACCTGCGTGAACATTTGTGCCCAAGTTTAAAAACGGCATCACAAGGGACTGGATTTTAAAATTCAGCACGAAAGAAATTGTCCATGACGGAAGCGTGAGATAATTGCCCGGACTGAGGAAGCTGCGTGTGGTAATTGGTGAGACTGAGCGAAGCCTCGGGACGCAGAGTTGGTAATGGAGTGCTGCAGGGGGGCAACAGCCTAAGACATTGAGCCCCTTTGTCTAGTATGGATTAGGAGTCTTATCACACGAAAACATTGGGCTGATCGTCAGTCAACAGAGTGGTGGGGGAGATGGAGGAAACAAAGGGGAAAATATTCTGTGCATACACCCCTACATACCATAAGCAAAAAGTAGAGGAAAAGCTGCTTACATTAGAGTGTATTTACAAAGAGAAGGAAAAGTCGAAATATGCAATATAGAAAGAGACAGACATTACACAACTGAAATCTATGTGATGCAACAACAGTGTTAGGTGCCCCTTTTTTAACTTTCACAAAATAGTAAAGAAAATCAGCTCTGCTCTTTAGCATAATTTAAAATATGCCAAAGGTGACATGATAACACTCTCAACACAGTTTTAGACCCACAATAAAACAGAATAAATCTCCATCTTTTGCTCTAATTAGCCGCTTTCTGTTATCACTTGAGACATAAATCACGAATGGAGGCAAACGCTAAGCCCTTACCGACAAATACCGTCTCATACAAAGCAGAAACTAACGTACCGCAGTTGCAGCAATGAGGCGAGGCGGTGCGAAGCAGGTTTACCCAACCAAAGAAATACAGCAGGGCGGCTTTCTTACCTACTTACACCTGGGATAGGAATAAATCCGGCTGTTCTGTGGGAAAACACTAACAGCGCATACCTTTTATCCAGCACAATGAAGATATAAGCTACATTCATATACAAACTAAAGGAATGAGAATGGAAGAGACAAGCGCTGCTATAAGATCTACCTTTGTTAATATGCTTGGTGATGAGCAGCAAACTACATCCTCTGACATGACCACAGAGCTCTTAAAACAGCATTAACAAAGAACTGAATATTAAATCTTCTTTGGAGTGCTCAGACTTTAGCTTGCATAGTGTTGGTCAGATTTTCAAATATGAGAAGTACTAACCAGCTTGTAATCCTTAGTAGAGACCTTGGTGAACCACTGGTTAAACTCCAGGACTGCTATTATAGCTACCAGATCCCTGAGGAGGAGGAGGAACAATGCAGAAGAGAAAAAGTCAGAGCAGCCATGAAATCTTTTTTTTATCTCTCTCATCAATACCATCTCAGACTCAGTGATGACTTTGATGGTAGTTTTTAAATTGCACTGGTGGTAATATTTAAATATCTTTGCCAGCACTCACCTGTTCTCCAGATGACTGAAGTCCTGCAAATTAAGTTCTCTGGTGTCTTGCGTTAAATATATAGTGTCTACATCCTGGAAAGGAAACAAGTAATTAATCTTGACTCTAGAAACAAAACAATTGCACTGGGAGAGTAAAAGATTTGTTTCATTTAGGAGAAAAAGAGCAAGAGCACAAAGGCGTCAAGAAATAAGGCTGTATATATGTGTCAGTGCTGTTGGGCCTTATCAAAAGTTGTTGCATGTTTATGGATCCAGCCTACAGCGGTGAGGCTTAGATGAAGCAGAATCTGTCAATGTGATCTGTGCAACTGCACAAAAGAATATAAACAATGCTTACCCACTGCACCTCTTCTCTGTAAGGCATCCCCAACCAGTCACAAACACATCGGTACATCTGAGAAAACCCACCTACACAGAGACGGAGACCATCAAATATGAAAAGAGAAAACAGAACAAAGTAGACATGTGAAAGGAGGATTTTGGAAACATGATTATTTGCAACATTGCTCAGACCATGTAAACTTACTACAGCAGCAACTCATCATTTAGAATATATAGAGAGAGCCGTTTGGAAAAGTCTTGAGCCATTCTTCATGTCCTACTTTTGTTAAGAAAATGTAATGTAGATATATTGATATTGATTTATTGAAATCTGTGAAAACATTCATGGAAATACATTTAGATGCTTTCCAGATAGCATTACATGACGGATAGAAATCAGATGACACATTTCTGTGTTCATGATTCCAACAATTTTTGACCAGATCTCCAACACCACTGGTTGAAATGCATCCTCAAAACATTCAAACATAACGTGTTTTACAGATTCCTGTAGACACAGTCTGTTGTACCTCTCTCCTAACCTATTCTGTACACACCGAGGATGATTTAACCCTAAATCACTCAAACAGACCTGTTGCCACTGATTTTTAGTCCAGTTCTTGTGCAATTTTGCATATCTCAGCTTTTTCTCACAGTTTTCCTTCCTTAAGAATGGCTTCTTGATATCCAACCTTCCACTAAGAGATGATGAGGCTTCAGTGAACAGCAGATAGATCATCTAGAGAGCCAGATAAATCTGTCAAATCCTGGGTTAAGTTATTTGGGGGGATATCTTCCTTTTTTCCTAAGGAAATTACATTGCTACTTCTTTTGTCCTCCACTTTTCCAGTTTACTCAGTTTTTAAGGACTCACTGCACATTGTTAGATCTCACATTACTGACTTCAAGAATCACCTTGTTGGTCAAGAAATGTTATTTTATGACTGTAAAACTGTTATCTTTGCCATTTTTCACAGATTTAATAACTGGAGAGACATGTGGGTTTCTGTGACAGGCTGCAAGTCTGGCTCTGTGGAAGTAAAATATAAAGAAATAATGGGTGGCTCAAGAGTTTTGCACAGTACTGTGTGCAGATACACGCAGTAGTCACAGGTTCATACCACAGGGTCCAGGTTCAGCAGGTTTATTGTTCTCCCACAGAGTCTGCAGAGAAGAGAGCCGGTCTGGAGGCTCCATGCAAAGCTTCTTCATCACTTTACTGAGAAAAGAAGTCAAATGAAAATATATTATGAAAACTGCAGCTGGTGAGAGTTTCAAACTAACAGTTTCATTCTTTTTGAAACAAGCAATACTGAACTGCTTTTGCAAAGCCTTACTTTTCTACAGACATTTTGTAAGCAAGCGATGAGGCAGCTGTTATGTACTACATGGTACTGCAGGAATTTAAAAATAAACGATGTGATCTTAAATTAAAAAAAACAACTAACATCTAACTGCTTAAAATATAACAAAAGGCAGTATTAACCCCTTAATGCCTGTTGTATCTTATTTGATACACACACGCCCAGTTGTAGCAGAATTGATACAAATTAAAACTCATGTGCAAATTTACATTTTTTTTCTATTTGTCACAAAGTTTAATAAATACTCAATTTTCTAAAAAATAGAATTTTCTGCCAGTAGTTCAGGCTTTAAAGGGTTAAATAAAATACAAATCACATTTAATGATGGTCAGCCTCACGATGAACTGTTCAAAGGTTACAGAAGTTTATGGTTTACGTCCATATTCATTTCTGCATTTCTGTTCTTGCTTCCTGTTCAACAAATCTATGAAAGACACTCACATCTGCACTGCAATACACAGCCATACTGAAATAACACCCGAAATCTATTACCTCAGTACCTATTAGGAAGGAGTCTGTGACAAGACAGGTGAATACATTTTACACACACACACACACACACACACACACACACACACACACACCGGACATTGCTATCTTAGTGGGGCCATCTCATTGACATAATGCTTTCCCTAGCCCCTTACCCTGACCTTCAAAAATGAATGCCTAACCCTAACCCTTAGCCTAAACCTAACCATAACCCAATTGTAACACTGACACTAAAACCACATTTTCAGTCTGAAAAATGCTTTCAAACTTGTGGGAACCAGGATTTTGGTCTCCACAAGTATAGGAAGAACCGGTACACACACACACACACACACACACACACACAAACACACACATGCACGCACACACTGAACTCACCTAGGGGGCAGACCTGGACATATCCTCTGCATACAGTTTCCTATGTGAGCCACCACCTCATTTACCTCGTCTGTGGAGGGCAACTTCAACGAAAATGAGCCGCGCTCATATTCTATGGACAGCTTAACGGACATAATCTTAATTAGTTATCACAACAATTAATGATTCACAAGTGCACCCATTTAGTTAAGGGACCAACACATTTTTATTTTCTCCTTCAGTCTGGTTTAATCAGATATAACTGACTGATAATCAGTTAATGCAAAAACACACAATACATCAATGTTGAATCCTAATTCAGCATTGATGTATTGTGTGTTTTTGCATGCATGTGTCTTATTCTGTTCATTTTAATCCATATTTGGCTCTTTTTTTTTAAACACCTCCCTGGAATCTATTGAAAACAATTAAAGTGAAAAAAATGTAAAAACCCATCTATCTACGTAACAACAGTTCTATCCCACATCTCTGCATGTAATGATTTAATAGTATTAACCAAGACTGGCTGACCATTTCAGCATTCACTACAATTATGCAAATGCAGATCAGAGCCTCTTCTACCGGCCAAAATTTACATAATCTTTGCTGATACATGGGAGACCATCGGTCAAGATATTAAGAGGACTGACATCTCTCAGACGAGTGGGACAGAGGTTCAGCTCCAGGAACAGGGTGGTTAGTGTTGGATTATCATATTTTATGGATAAATCCTGCTGACTGGCAGCTTGGCACAGATGTTCTGTGAATTAATGAGTTTCTACAGATCATACCAGCATTTAAGACGTTTTCCCGCCATAGTTTTAGATTTGTTTATTTTATTTTTTCATCCTGCTGAAGTGTCCCTAAATAGGATAAAAAGACTTTTCACCACATTTAGTGTATTAGTACAATATATGCTGATGATTGACACATCATGAGCACTCACAGAAACAAAACAATATTAAAACCTGACATATAAAAGTTTAGGCATGTGTGTTTATGTGATGTGCCTATTGTCTCACTGACTATTCAATGCTTCATTTTTTAATCGTAATGTTTTAAACAGCATCTGGACAGGTTACAGAATAACACAGATGATGCACTTTAACATAAACACAAAATAGAAACACAATTTAAAGGAATAGCTGGACAGCTTCAACTTTGTTCTTACTCTTAACATGAGAAGGACTGTAGTGTGAAGCTTTTTTCTTTAATATTTTTCTGTACCTGCGTTGGCTTGTTGCAAGCAATTCCCTGGATCTCCAGATAATTAAAGGAGTGTTCCACCTAAAAGAAGAGAACAGATGTCCCATTAAAATTTTAATATCATTCAATGGCATGACCTTGTACTAATGAGAATTGACAGCGACACAGATACCGCAGATACAGGATTTTTAAATATCTGTATCGGCATCGTTCATAAACAATACAGATATTTTATTTAAGTAGAGGATAATCTTATATCAGCCAATATATTTTTTCTTCCAGACACACAAGCATAAACAGATTTCTCTAAAATTCACTAAGATAGTTGTTTTTTTAAACCCACACCCTGTCTGACGCTGCTCAGATCAGCTGGGTGTTGGGCTTGTGGATTTCCAAATATGTGTGCTGCCAAAAAGGGGATTTGCAAGACACTAAACTATGCAACTTTAACATTCAAACATCGTCAAGCTTGTTTTTCCATTCCCTATTTCACTTTATACATTTTTAATTATCATCGTTATAAATACAAACACCAATGGATTACCATATACCTGATATCGGGCAATATCGGGCTCTGAAATCCATTGGTTTAGCTTTAGTGCAGATCACGCTGAACTACAAGTTATTACATTCTAGTGTTACCATACTGTTTAAGAATATGCTGGTTGATATTAAGAAGAACAAATATAACAACCGAAAAAGAAAAGAGAGAAGAAGAATATTAGGAATAAATTGGTTTAGTGCGCTAACTCTAATCTAATGAGTCCTGCTTAAAAGTGTCTGTGTCACAGTTAATAAGTCAGGTTGCAGTAATTTAATCTTCCAACACCGACTCACACAGACGAACTTGTTTTAAAGTCATATTTGGTGTTACATCGAATTGGCTGTTTTTCATCACAAATACTTGCATCTCAGTTTTTAGTCAAGTCCACGGGAAATAAAATAAAACAACTACATATGACACAGGCTGTTCAACTTCTTGTGGCTTTTCCCTGCTTTGCACAATTTCAAATGTACCTTTTAAACTGTTTGAAATGAGTATGGCTCTCTTGCAGCTTAAACAGAACAAAAATATACTGAATCATCATTCAAAAGACAGTCTATCAAAACATTAGGGCTAGAGGAACCTAGAGCAGTCTTGCATCTGAATGTTTTATTTCTGCTTCAAGAGAGCAACTCAGGACTGAGGAGACAAAGAAAAGCAGCGACTTGCCTTCACAAGCCTTAAAAGGACAGAAACTGAGATTCTTTTAAATACGATTGGAAACCTGTGCATACAAATGCCTTCTGCTTCATACCGAGTGCAGTTTTCCTCTGCTACTTGCTTTCACACAAACACATACAGTGCCTGAGGGTAGGCCAGAGACAGGGCCAGACTATTCCAGGTGGGCGCTGTGTTCCTGAGGCTTGGCTCAGAGATGAGAGGAGGGAGAGGATAAGCAGACTGTCTGTCTACTGTCTGACTACAGTATGCAGTGTGTGTGTGTGTGCGTGTGCATTTGGTTTTGTAGTGCTTGTGGTTACTAAATAAACACACAATAGCAACTCTCTCATTCAAGGTGCTGTGTAAAAACACCCCGCCCCCCAATTTATATTCAGCGCTTACTTTTAAAGTAACGTGACTTTTAAAGAAGAAATTAGCATAACTGACATAAAGACATCAGAAGAAAACAGCTCAGCTAATGACATGTTTCTCAAATAAAACAAAGCAACAGACTCCAGTAGCTGTTATTGTTATATAGGGAGGTTTGGTAAGTTTTAACAAGGTAGAAGGCTACCAACTCTAAGACACTAAATTACTCTTACACTAATTTTGATGCTCATTTGTTACTGCAAAGTGTTGTTTTCTACAATATGTATCCATAATGTAAAATAGGTCAATCAGTTTATTTATTTCAGCCTGTAAAAAGGTGTGGCTGTAATCTGAAAGGACTTAAATCAGTGTGGTGATGAAATCTGGGCTTCAGCCATTGGCGACGGCCAGCTCCATGCTGGGAGGTGTATGGAACCAAATGCCTGAGTAATTGGATCATTCACTCATTCGTTCACTGCCCGTCTGTCAGTCTAACGGGTCACACTGTACCTAAGTTTATCTGAAAGGTATTTATTATAACTGTTAATATTGAGGATGCTGCTGACCATTTGTATTTCAGGTTTTAATGAGATAAGGGACACTGACTATGTTTTGTATATCAAAGGTATGCTCATTGTGACCTTTTATTAAATTCAAATTCAAATTCAAATTTTTATTTGTCACATACACAGTCATACACAGTATGATATGTAGTGAAATGCTTGGACAACTGCTCGTGACCTAAAGAAAAAAGAAAAGGCTATGAATAAGATAGGAAATAAATAAATATGAAAATAAAAAAGGGTAAATTTAACCAGGAAGGAATAAAATAAAATATAAAAAAATTAAGTTAAGAATGAGATAACTGTACAACACAAATTAGAATGAAGGGTAAATTTAACTGGGAAAGAATAAGATAAAATATATAAATTAAAGTTGAAAATAAGATAACTGTACAACAAAATACAAAGTATAGACATATATAAGAATGTAAGAGAAATATAAATATATATACACACAATAACAGCAGCTGTACAAATATTAACTGGAGATGAGGAATATAATGTCCAGCGTTGTGCAATCCACATTATATAGTGTCTTGTGCAGTGCAAATATGCTTAAAGTGATGAAGTGAAACATAAACTAAAAATTAAATTACATAAACTCCATTAGTTCTGACATCAAACAAAAGACAACCGAGCTGAAGAGCATACAGGTGAGGATAGAAAAATAAACAGAGACAAAAGGTAAGAAGGAAGATCTGAATGAATGTGTGTGTGAGCATGTGCGCATGTGTGCATGCTTTTAGGAAGACACTGGCAGACTGCGAGGCCCTGGAGCTTCTCAAGAGGAGCCAAAGCATCAATCGAAGCAGCGCACACACAGAAACCCACTGACAAGCACATGAGAGAGCTAGAGGGGGATTTCAGCTATAACTAAGAGGAGAAATATAATGTCTGATGTTTAACTGAGGTTTTACTTTTATACACTAAAAACACTTCAACGTTAAGGCCTTGGGCTGGCTTCAGGAAAACAATACGGATGAAATCCCCATCCTATAGTTTGTGCTCCTATAGGGTTTTAAAGCATTACCACTTTTTATGCATAATAGATGAGTGCTCAAGTAGAAAAACACTATACAAGAATCCATGCATTTACCTTTTACCATAAAATAATACAAAATCATCTGTTGTATTAAAAAAAACAGCTTTCAACAGAAGGTGAGTACAGAGGATCGAGAGTGAGGAGAAGCTAAACTTTATTTAAGATTGATTGATCTTGGCTGTGAAACAGACTTTACATTAGAAAAGTAAATTTAAGAGAAATATGGTAACAATCTTTTACTTTTTCTCTTTTTCTAGTTTTAATAGCAGGTGCCAAGAAACCACCCATAACATTACTGCATTAGTTGGCACTAGTGAATGAATAATACTACTACTACTACTAACAATAATAACAATAACAATAATAATAATAATAATAACAATAATAAAAAATCTTTAATGAGTTTTATATGAAAAAATGAAAAAGATTAGAGGAAAAAGATTTGGCAACTACAACAAATTTGGATTTGAAACCTTTTTGTTGATGTAAAAATTAGTCAATCACAAAATTAATCACAAAACTGTAATTTTTCCTCAAAATTTTTTTTTTTTCGGAAAAAAATAGATTTTCTGCCTGTCAGTTTAATGTAATAGAAATTCATTTAAAATAAAGTCAATAAAGTCATTGAAGACAAGATACTAGTTATCCTATTGACCTTTGGCATTGTAGTGAGTGGGGGACGGAAACAGAGGTGTCAGCGTAAGAGAAACGGATGAACTAATGGATTATTGAAAAAGATTGACAGGATAAGAGTGAAATAGGGGAGAAAAGCTGATCTGTGGCTGTGATCTGGCTAACCAAAGAAAGACAGAAGTTTCACTACAAGAGAGAGAACTGTCTCCCAACAGAAGAGGTGTTTAAGCCAAGAAAAGAAAAAAGGTGGAAAAAGATCCGAATGCAGGATGAGATATGGGGGCGGTTCTTTATAAAGCAGGTGTCTAATCCCTCTGGTCAAAAGACAGCAGACAGATAAAAAACAGATGCAGAACCAGCTAAATAAACAGACTTTAAACTTGTGGCTCATAACACTGGAAACTTTTCCAAAGTGGAAAATAATGTTATGTGAAAGAGTGAACTATGATGTTTTCTGTGTTCAGTCAATCAACCAACTGCACTGTCTCCAGGGCACCTTATTCACTGGAGAGCAGGCAGCTTCTTCTTTTAAAATAAGATGGTATGCAATATGTCCTGTCCTGTCAGGCGAGTCCAGATTTTGTAGGTGTTTTCTATAGACAGTCACATCCCTGTTTGGGTTCATGACTCTAAGCTTTGGTTATGCATGTGGTCAGGCTAGAGGCTATTTTTGACAATGAGTCACTACTACTGCGAAAAACTGCTGACACTGAAAACGTGCTTAATCACTTTTTTTGTGTCATTAGCATTAGCAGCTGTAACAGCATGGATGGTACTGTATCCACCTTGTGGGTCTGTGTGTGTCATGTGTACTTTGACAAGTATAAATAGAAGATCAAGCTTTAAAAAAAATGAGCTCAAAGATGGCCAGAAAAGCCAGTAAACCCTTGGCCACGTCACACTCCTGTAATACATTCTGCTTATTTTTTTCCTTAGCAGAATATTACAGATGCAGGATTGGACAAAACTATTTTAAACAACTTTTATTGTGCAAAAACAGCAGCACAGGTCTCCTTGATAATACATGTAGTGATGGTAACAGTAGTTTTGCATGAACATCTGTGTTGCGTTACTGCACTGCTGGTTTTTATGTGGTAGTGGTGACTGTGCTTGTAAAGATGATGAGGGATATTTCAGTGCTGGTGACAGTTACCATCTGCACTGCATTATCGCACCACTGTATAAAAGGATTTGCCAGCAAGCTTTAGATCTGCTTCAGGTACACAAACTTAAAAGTATCTATTTAAATCCAAAGCTGCTCCCTGTATCACCAGTGAGAACAAATGAAGGCTGGAACAGAATCGCTAACTCTGCTGTAAGGAAATATCACACACTGCTGCTTGCAACAAGCATTACAACATTAATAATGAAGAGAAAACAGTGCTACTGTGTGTAAT